CTTCGGCGTTCCCGGAAGTTACTTACTTCCGGGTTCGCCGACCAACCGGTTCGTGGGGACCGCCGCGAACCACCTGAAACCCACCCCTGATTGTGGTGCACTCATTGAGTAGCAGCATTATTAACTGTAGTCTACTGCAGAAATAATTGATTGGTCTATTATTAGCTAATTCTATCAAATTTTGTTGATTGGCTGTTGAAATAGGCTCCCCATACAGTTTATATGATAGCTTACATTCAGTGATTTTAAATAGCATGGAGTTCAGATTTATTCTGCGAAATATTTTGTAGCATGGATGGGGAATCTGTGGTTCACCATGTTATTACACTACAATTTCAAGTGTCCCTCACAACTGGCCATGCTGCCTGAGCTGCTAGATATAGCATTGGAGGACTATTAAGTGTAGGAAATTGGGACTCCAAACAGTTCAAATGAATGTATAAGTTTATTATTGTATGCTAAAGCTCTTTACAAGAATCTGAACTATTAATGGTTAAAGCTAGTTGGTGGTAGATAAGAGTCAAAGGAAGTTAAGGTGGGCTGGACTTAGATTTCTTGTGAGTGCAAAGGAACTCAATAATGTATTTGATACCTCTTTTCGGCTCAGCTTAATCATCTTCTAAAAGCGCCATGAATCCCCAACTTTGATCTTATTGGGAAGAACAGTGAAACGTAACTAATTCTATATTTTTCAACCTTACTCAATTTTTCTGTTAGAAAGAATAATATCCTCATATATCATCTTTGTTCTACAAAGTACTAATAAGCTTCTAGATAGATATATGTTCCCCTGCTTTTCAGATTTTTTTTTTTTAATAACTTTACAATATTAGTTTTATGTAAAAATTAAAATTTAATAATACAAATCATTAAACATTTTGAAATATGAATTAAAATGTGTTACACTGCATAGCGCAAACATTTACTCTTTCTCTACCTGTGATTAAGTGTTCATGCTCCAATTATAATAGCATAGGTACAGGCAAAGTAAACACATTTTAAATGTAATTCATTATTTTGGAAATTTCATATGCTGTAAAATTTGTAGTATTTGTGTAAATATTATCTCCTTTACAAATGAGAGGATTTGTAGCAACATATGATTACTTGGAACATTTGCAAGTAAGGATCTTGAAAGTTTGGTCTGTAATACATGCATACATGTGAGTGATGGAATGTTTTGTACATACTGTGATTTGTATTTAACATTCCTGAAAATGTTCTGCCCTTTTTTTTTTCATTTTCTCAGATTAATCGAGCCCCCAGCTTTGGTACTGACCAGAAAATTGATTATGATGTGAAAAAAGGTGTCCTTTTGAATGCATTACAGCTTCTCAATATCAGGTAAATATGCATAGGCCAGTTATCATTATTTATTTTGGTTATAAAAGAAATAGAGTTAAATTTACCATATTTTCCAAAAAATGTTTTCATACAATTTAAGTTAAACCCTTTGCCTCTGAGTATTTAATCCAAATATAATACAATCTTTGTCATTATTAGAAAAGAGTAAGTTAAATCCTAGTTTGATCCAAGAACTATATTGGTCTGTCCAGATTTTTATGAAGCAGTTTCTTGAGGCATAAGAAGGACGTGTTTGTGTGTCTGTTGTCCATCTGATCAGATTAAGAAGATTACAATGAGACTGGTACTACTGTGTGTATCTATGCATGTTGTCGTTGAGTATGAAAATGCCTAGAGCTATAGGATTTCTTTTTAAACAGCTTATTATAAATGAGGCCTCTGAGGACATTGTGTATTCCTCTGATCTAGTTGATGGTAGGAATTCCAATATCTTGTTTGGTACCATCTGTCCAGCGTCTTTAGGAGGAATTAGTTGTTACGGTATTACCAGGTGAAGCATCTGAAAGCAGCAGGATCTGGCAATTGCCAAGTGTTCACCATCCTATCCTGGCCTGACGTTAATAACCAACTGAGGAGGATTGTTTCTGAGGAGAACCTATAGTATTTCTAATAGTTCATTGTCTGGCTGACAGAGATAGCAGCCATCTGCTCTATCCTGGGGAGAGCGGTTGTAGTAGTAGCAACTTTCCCACCACCATTGTAGCTTGTCAGTACCAAGCACTCATTGGCTTGCCAGTGTAGGTAAATGAAAACAGAAACGGTATCTTGGAATAGCTGCCAGGTAGGAAAAGGAAGTAAATGGGCGACCTCTATTTCTGCCACCATGGCAAACTGAAGTATTTGTCCTTCTCCATCTGGGAGGTTGGTAGGTATGGGGAAAAAAAGCGAGCTTGCCATTCATTAACAAATAAAGATAGCCCTAGACTCTGACATCATTGTGCCGAAAAAGCTGAAAACCCCACTTGGTTGGCTTTTGTTGATCCTTTCAAGTATTTTCTTTTCAGGACAAGCGATAAAAGAAAAAATTTAGCCAAGCAAAAAGCAGAAGCTCAGAAGAGACTGTACGGCCAAGGGTCAATGAAAAGGCTGTCACCTATATCTTCTGACTGGGAAAAGCAACGACGTTCCCTAGAAAGGAGGAGAGAAGAACTGGTAATTTAAACCATCTATGTATATATAAATGAAGGAGCCATGTTTTCTACCTTTTTCTCTAGCGGTATGTTCAGTCATTTCCACATGTTCTTGGCTTCCAGAAAGAGAGACTTGCACAAGTACGCAGGCAGATCTCCAAAGAAGAGCATGAAAACAGGCACATGGGAAATTATAGGTAACTATGTAATCCCTAGATTCCTAATTCAAAGTATTATCTTGGATTCATTTGATTTAGAATGGAATTCACTTTGCTTGTATCATGCTTGCGTAAAGGTGCTTTTTTCTTGAATGATGAAATGGGCTAATAATAATAGACCTTAGGATGGGTGTAGGCTATATGTTCTCAAAATACTGTCTCCAACCACGTGATGAATCATGGTTCTATAGTTCTCAGAGACATTTATTTCCTCTATTGAGAGAGAATTCTTTCCTAGCTAAAATGGAAGTTTAGTATAAAGACAGATGTAGTATGAAATCAAAGCCATAACAAAGCTTAAACTAAGCTTTCTTAAACAACATTTTCCCCCCTAGATCTCAGATGATAAAAGCAAGAGTCTTACTGAGTTTTTCTTTCTGTTAAACTTTAAGACAGATTTTGAGACATATCACTATCAGCCTAAGTTCTTTTGATAGTCTACAGAGGAATGTCTTGTCATGCATTAGGAGTTCCTTAAAAATAATGATAGCTCTTTTTAAAAATGAGATACAGAAATGTGTTTCTTCTTAAAGGAATCTCAAAACGCAGCATAAGAAAAGATGAATAATAGAGAACTAGTTTAAGAGCTTTATAATGTGTTTTACTGGCATGTAGCAGCAGAATACCTGGTGCCTGATTGCTCCCCAATTAAAAAGGAAAAAAGCATACCCTAAAATCTAATAAAATTTCAGATAAAATTGATTGCATACTGTTGCATAAGATCTTATAAAATTTAGAGTAAGGATAGAGGAAATTTGGCCTGTGTTAATTTTTTACTATATTGATTTTTAAATTTGTATTTTTTAGCCCTTGAGTATAATGAAAAATTGTTAGATCTCTCACCGCCCACCTGGTTTCTAGAATTAGATGCTCCTGATACCAACCTGTTTATTAGTTTGGAATCAGAAAAAAAAATCATGATTACTATTTCTGATATCTTAACCTGGTAATGTGTTCATTAGAGTATTTTTGGAAGCTTTCTGTTAGTACTTCTTTAATTGATATAAAGTTAAATATTTTTATTACTATGTTTTGTTTGATATTTTATTTGGATGATATTTGTGTGTTTTAAGATGCCTTGGGAAAACCAGGTTTTGAAGGATGACATATACCAATATCAATAGCATTTAAACTTATATACCACTTCACAGTCCTTTACAGCCCTCTCTGCAAGGGTTAACAGAGTCAGCATATTCCCCCAACAACCTGGATCCTCATTTTACTGACCTCGGAAGGCTGGAAGGTGGAGTCAACCTTGAGCCTATCAGGATTGAACTCCAAACTATGGGCAGAGTTAGCATACAATATTGCATTCTAAGCACTGTGCCGCATTTTAATTAAAGTATCCTTATGTGTCTGCTGCTAGATAGGCATTGGTGTGACTATAAGGGATCGACTTTCAGAATTGTTTAGGGGGATTTAAATTTTCTTGATTAGTTTGGGCAACAAATAGATATAGTGTATAGGAAGAAGTCAGTTCCCTACCTCTTTTTTTTATAGCCCTAGGAAGCTTTTCACTTTATACCATTGAAATCTAGTAGTATTCTTATTTTATTTTTAAATATTTTGATCACAAAAGAAACAAAAAAAAAAGACTGAAAATGTTAATCCTTTCTTTTTCAACTTTTCATTATTAATTCTTGGCCACAAAAGCATTGTTTATATGACATGGTTGAATCATCCTTAGCAATACTATTGGGGAATAATTTCCCTCTCCCATTATTCTAACACCGCCAAATAATAGCCTCAATGTGTGTAAAAATTGTAGTATTGCATGTACCCTCCTCTGTAATGTGTTTTGAAATGTACCATCACAGAGAAAAGTTGTATGTTTGAAAGAACTTCTTTTTCTCAAACAAAGCATCCATGGCATATTGCCATTACATACAGCAGGTCTAGTGAGATTCCAAAGTAGTTGGAATACTTTGCGTATTTATCTATGCAGCAGCTTTAATTCTGGTGTATTCCAGAATTTGTAAATGGCAGAAGGAGAAGCACGCATCTGTCCTGAAGTCTGGAACTTTTTTGGGTGTGTGTGTCATCCAGCAGTCCATACTAGCCAAGCTGGATATTAATAATAAATTACAATCCGTGTGGTCAGAGAGGAACAGAGAACAGTCATTTCAGCTGAATAGAAAGGAGGAAATGGATTATAACTGATAGCTGTTATCGGAAAGAAAGTGGTGGGCGTCTAATGCAATTTTTGTGGTTTTTGTAATGTCCTTCTCAAACTCACTCTCTCTGTCTCTGAATTATGAATGCAATATATAATGTTTCGTGTCTCATGCAAACCTGGTTGACATTACAGTGAGTATTTGAACACTTAAGCTTATTGTTTGTATAAAGATAAGCTTTATTCCTATTTTGCTTTTTTAGTTGTAGTGTCTCCTTTCTCCAGTAAAAATACAGTAGATTTTAAGTAGTATAAGTGTTTTCACAGTCTGTGTTTTGCTGAAATATATTACCAAATTAGTGTTCTCCCTGAAAATATGGCGTAGCTCTGTGTATAAACCAGTGCAATGCAATATATATGTGTTATTGAAAGAACAGAAGCCGTACATTTTGTTTAACTTCATTTTAATTAAGCATGTATACAGGATAACAGGTTGGGGAGTTGCTCACATCTCATAGATTTTTCTTTTCTTTTATTCCTATTTTAGGCGTATTTACCCTCCCGATGATAAATTTCTACTTGAAAAATATGAAGGTTTGTTAGCCACAGCTTTTCAAACATTTCTTGCTGGGAGGGCAGCTTCACTTCAACGGGAAATGAACAACCCTTTGAAAAGGATGAAGGTATCAGTAGAGCTGTTATTGACTTACTGGTTTCAAATAATCGATTTATATGTAGAAATACTAAAAGGTTTAGATTCTTTTTTCTTCCCATCCAACTTGTAGTACTGTCGTACAGAGTTGTGTTTATACCACTGTGAAACCAGTATTGTTTTTGTACGTTTTACTAATAATTCAAACATAGCTTGATGAGAAAAAGTACAATTTTCCGATTTCGTAGCACTTGCTTACAATGTTGGTTTAAAAACCAGAATGGCTGGATCCATACATCAAGGATTCATAAACCATGTGTTATATGTCTTTGCATGTTGCATCCAATTATGGTTTGTTCCCCCATACACTTTTTCTGGCTACTCATCTATCAAGTTTGCAAATAGCACCCTGAAAGAGAAAAACATGTCATCTTACTTCAACATTTCCAGGGAGAAGATCTGATAGATGTTGCCTGGTTTTGAAACCTCAAGCAACTTTTTTAAAAGAAGTGCTAAACTGCTTGTTCATTTCATGCTTGTTTTGAATGGCCTTTGCATGGACAGCTGTGCTGGAATTCCTATGTAGTGATCTCAGCTGTGGTTAGCTAGTATAACCTTGTCTTTTCATTGTGGAATGTGAATGTTCATAGGCTCATAGATCAATAAATGTATAGGATTGCCGTGGGTTAAGTTATTGAGTTTAACTGGCTAGTTGGGAATCAAAACTTTTTCAACGTAAAAGTTTAACTTTTGGGCACCTATCAATAAAACATGGCAAAATCAATTATATAAGAGTGGAATAAAAAGTGACGCCTTCGCCTCCATAACTCAATTTAAATAGGGATAATTTAATAATGAAAACCGATAATAATCCTTGAACTGAGAACTTTTGTTACTTGTATTTACTTCTCCACATAATCACCACCATTCACTCCACACTTCTGCCAACAGTGGACAATCATCACAAAAGAACTCCACACTTTGTCTCTTCAACCAGGTCCTGATAGTCTTTTCTGCATCTTCGTTTGAGTCAAACAGATGCCCACTAAGGTATTCCTTCAATTTTGGGAAAAAGTGGAAGTTGCACAGAACCAAGTCTGGACTCTTATGACGGATGAAATAAGAGGTGAGATCCAACTTAGCAATTGCCTCTTGTCATGGCTGATGAGGTATAAAAGGTCTCGTGTTGTCACCTTGCGGCAAAATTTCTTTCTTGTGCTTCCAAACTCCGTGTAATTGTTGTTTCAGAGGTATAGAGGTGGAAGAGATGGAAAGGACTGTCAGGACCTGGTTGAAGAGATTTAAAGTGTGGAGTTCTTTTGTGACAGCTGTAAATCATTTGGACATCATTGGCAAACGTATGTAGCGAAGGGTGATGATTATGGGAAGAAGTAAATACAAATAGCCAAATAAATTACAATGGAAAATAATCCTTGAAGCTGTTAAAATAGCCCTATTTAAACTGGAAGTGGAGGCATAGTTTTTCTTTCAACCCTTGTAAATTATCTCAACAATAATAATTGCAAATTTCCATTGATATTGTTTTTAGAACCCAGACACTGTTAGATAAGGGGGGGGAAGGGTTTTTTTCACAGCATACTAAATGTGCATTCTGACTTTTTCATATTTATTTCAACAACGTATCTTTTCAGGAAGAAGACATATTGGATCTTCTGGAACAGTGTGAACTTGATGATGAGAAACTAATGGGAAAATCTGTCAAATCACGTGGACCAAAGGTATGTATTGAATGAAATTAAATGATATCTATATTTTTAAATGAAGTGCATGTGGTTCATGTAAATTCTGAGCCGAATTAGGCTGTTTTGGAACATTTCTGTGTGCCATAGTCCCAAATTGAATTTCATCTGAAATCACCAGAAACTGATTGCTGCTCATAAAATTTCATGAGCAATTTAACATTCTGGAAGATTACAAAATGGTATTTCATTTGCCAAAGAGGTTACTGTGCTTTCATGTTGCTAGAAGCTAGGGTGAAGCAGAGGGAATGAGAAGGGAACCAGTTGAGTGATTGACAGCCATGACTGACAAGTCTACCTTTCAATTTAACCATTAATCAGCAGCCCTTCGGTCATACTAGTTTGTTACATGCTGTTCCCCACTCTTTATAGTGGTTTTTCAGCCATGCTGTCACACTTTAAAGAGCTTTCCTGTGGTGTTAGTGAAGTGTATGTGTGCAGTTAATTTTCTGTCTTCCCAGCCTGAAAATCAACGTTGATGGCACTTAATGTCAAAGATTATAAACCACTCTTTTTACAATTTGTCAGGCTTCTTAGGAAAGGGTGCCTCTGTATTGTTGGTTATCACAGAATTAGAGCACCAAACAAGTTTCTGTTTCTTCTCAAATTTGTAAATCGGTATCGGATCCCTGGTAAAACTCCTTCTGAGGTTGGCTGTTTGCTAGCAGGTGTTTCATTACCCAGCTGGGTAACATCATTGCACTGATAATGTTAGCTAATTGGGTAATGCAAAGTCTGCAAACCAACAACCAAGCTCTGAGAACACTAAGGATTCCACAGGTCAACCAAAGCTATACAATATGTGTGTGTGTGTGTGTGTGTGCATGTATGTATGTATGTGTGTGTATGTATGTATATGTGTATATATATATGTGTGTTTGTGTGTGTGTGTGTGTGTGTATAGGGCAGAAAGTGAAGCCAGCTTGTGTAGATCCAGAGGGCTTTTTGAGGTTTGAAACCTTCAGACTTAAAATCAGTGTGTCCTGCCGCCATGTTGCTATATGGTGCAAGACACCCTGGTCCTAACCAAAACTAATAATATATGTTGTTTTTTCTTTCTTTAAAGAATGTCATTTTCTACCTGACTGGAATATTACCTTCCACGCTTATTTTGTTTAAATTCTTTATAGCAGAAATATTAAAAGGATTGATGGGTTATTTGCCTTTTTAGCTTCCAGATTTGACACAATAGGTAGGTTAGTATTACTTATTATAACACAACCATTAGGGGGCAGAACTACCCTCTATGCCAGTGATTGTTAACCTTGACAACTTAAGATGTCTGGGCTTTGGTTTGTGTGTGTCCACACATCTTAAAATTGCCAAGGTTGAAAAATACTACTCTATGCTATTGGGAAAACGTATTTGCTTATCCAAGCAGCAGTCAACATTTTAAGGGATAGCGAGTGAGATTCTAAGACTGTGGTTCCAGAAGACTTTTACGGGATCTATCAACTCACTGGATTTTAGCAAATTAGAATTCCAAGCCCAGGTAGAATTAGAAATAATAGGACTAAAATAAAGAAGGAAGAGAATCATAACTAAATGGAAATAGAGAAAAACTTTAAAAATGGATCTGGGAAAAGAGAAACATTGAAATTCTAGACAAAAGAAAAGGAATCTCCCTAATAAGTAGAAAAGAAGAGGTGAAGAGCAGGGTTCTCTGAATCTAGTATTTTTGTAGGAAACTAGACATTTTCATAAAAGGAAGGGAAAATCCAGACTGCTTCTTGAATAATTTTTAAAAGATTTGTCTTATCTACAAAGTTAGGGAAATTTGGTTTATTCAGGTTTTTTTTAGAGAACTAGTTCTTTATTTTTAGTGGTCTATGAAATGACTTGGAATGACTTGGATAACTATACAATATTCAGGACTGTAGCAAATTCCTGGCTAGGACACACTTGGTAAAGCCATCTCGATCTTACTCAATCTTTCACCACAACGCGAAAATAATGTACAATAGTTGGCAGGATCACGTGGAAGCCAACATGATTCGATGTCACTGAATTAGCTCAATTTGTATAATTCATGGCCCAACGACTGACCACTTCTATGATCTTGTCTCCTAATGGGACTCAAGATCCTAGAAGCAGAAGGAAAGATGGTCGAGAAGCTGGATTACTCAAGTCCTCTGGGAGCCAAAAATATCATTCAATGTGACTATCTCAAGATGTTACTAAAATGAGAAGAATCTTGGCTAATTAGATTAATCCAGGATTGATAGCATGTTCAGTTCCAGCTACGTCATATCAAACACAACTTTATAATATCTGACATCACTCAACCTACAACCAGGAGTTAAGTTTCCTGATAGGCTAGCTTGCAAGTATTTTAAATCCAGGTCACCTCAAAAGGGATTGTACCTAAGTGAAGGCTCAAGAAAACCAAACTGATACTTGGAGCTACAGGCTAAAGAAACCTCTCAGAAAAAGCTTCTTTAAATTCTCTGTGGGGATTTCATTACACCCGTGAGTTGAATAAAAGTGATAATAGTTAGACATCCACTAAAGTCTACCCGAAAGATACTGGAGGCATGATCTCCATTATCATAGAGCCGAGGTGGCGCAGTGGTTAGGGTGCAGTACTGCAGGCCACTTCAGCTGACTGTTATCTGCAGTTCAGCGGTTCTAATCTCACCGGCTCAAGGTCGACTCAGCCTTCCATCCTTCCGAGGTGGGTAAAATGAGGACCCGGACTATGGGGGCAACTCAATTTGCTAAAAAAAAATTGTAAACCGCTTAGAGAGGGCTGAAAGCCCTATGAAGCGGTATATAAGTCTAACTGATATTGCTAACTGATATTGCTAACTG